TTCATTAGTAAATTCTTACCGGGGTCATTTTTATTGTGTATGCTTCGCTCATGCAAATATGTAAATTTGTAACCCATCTAAGATAAATTTGCCCCCGTAACAATATAAATTGGTGCGATTCACGAGTGTATAGTGAGACAAGTTAATAGAATAGTTTGGAACATCGGTAAAATTATCAATATTTTGCTGGTCTATATATATTCACGTTTTTAGAAAGAATGTTAATTAGAGAAATATGATATCTTAGTTTATTGAAGTTTATGAAATATGATATCTTCCAGATTTTACACATAAGTACATAGGCGTAGTGTATTATTGGGAATATATTTATTAAATAGACTTTATTATTAACTTTAAAATAGTTTTGAGGTAAGTAAAGTAAATTTGAGGCCAGTTTATTCTTTATATAGTATTAAACCCTTAACGGCTGCTCAATATACAAAGAGAAATTTGACATTTAATTTATTAGATTGGATTAAAAACACAAATTAGGAATAAATTACAACCGAAAAGATTTTTTTTCTCATTTTTAAGGAAAACAGTACAATTTTTAATAAAGGAACATATTGTATCTTAAACGTAAATTAAATTTTAAGGTAAAAATTTTCAAAATATTCGGGGTGTAGATGCATTCTACACTTTTTACATAAATAAATAGTATTACTTTTGTACATCCTACATTTTTGCACTATCGTCTCTTTTTATAATGTGGCCAATATTGTCGAATCTGGTTTCATCTGGTAAAGCAAATTTAGATTGACGCCCATGTACTGACACTGATGTAGCGGTTTCTTCACTATTATAAATTAAAATTATAAACCTATGTCGACTCATGATTTCTCTTATAATATGCACTTTTTTATCCTCATCCTTTGACCAATGCATATCAACTTGAAGCAGAGTGTAAACCAGATAATATACATATGCTACTAATTTTTTTAAATCTATGTTATTCATTTCAAAATTGTGACGGTTATTCTCAATTACTCTTTTATCAAAAAGAGTGAAAAACTTCAATATATGACTTACCTACATGGTTGACTTTTATATTGTATAAATATCAATCAGACTGATGTTGAATTACTATTGAGCACGAAAGAATATCCGTTATTACAACTTGAGATAAATTTGGATTTACTATTTTTGCCTGGTTTTTAATTTGGACGTTTTATCTGTGGTTCAGAGGAATATCATAATTAGAATCGTTAGAATTCCCAATCACTTGTATTTCATATGTACCTGCAATATCCGATTTTATTGATTCTTCACAAATAATATTATCATCAATCTCTTCAAGGAGTACAATAATATACTAGCAAACGAATGGGAAAGATACCTGACAGAACTGTTGGCAAAGAACTGTTGGGAAAGATACCTGACTGACTGTGGCAAAGGAAAATAATAATCAACACAATAACGTACCTGAACTAAGAGACGAAATAGAAATCAGTTTTCACGAAGTAGAAATAGTCATAAATTCACTCAAAAATAGAAAGTCACCAGGACCAGACGGAATAACCAACGAGCTTCTAAAATACGGATGAGAAAGTTTAACCCTAGAGATGACAAAACTTATACAAAAACTAATATTGTACTGCAAGATACCAGACGCATGGAGAAACAGCATAATGATACCAATGGTCAAGAAAGGAGATAAAGAAAATCACAACAATTATAGAGGTATAAATCTATTGAACACCGCACTTAAGCTTACCACAAAAGTCCTAACCAACAAAATCAATAAACTAACAACTTTATCAGATGAACAACAAGGATTCAGATCCGGATGATCCTGCGTAGACGCCGTATTTGTACTAAGACAAATCACAGAAAAGGCCATCATATGTATGTTTTATAGACCTGACAAAGGCTTTCGATCGCATCCAAGTCGAAGACGTCTTACACAATGACGTATAATATATAGACGCGGTGAACGCTTTAAAAAGTGTCCAAAACATGAATACCTTTGTTATTGTTTATTGTTTTGATACGAAGATGCACGAAGCATCACGAAGTTGATCTTGTGTTTGAAAACATCATGGACGTATGAAAACATTTTTTCCATTTTGTGTGACAAGCAAATTTTATTTTAAATTGTTGAGAGTTATTTACTTACTATTTTAGTAAAATGCCATACTATTTTATCAATATAATTAGTTCTCTTATAGACGGGAACAAAAAGAAATCATAAATATTTAATTTTATTTAAAAAAATAATTATTGTCATTAACATATAAATGAGCACGCCGCTGTTCTGATAAACATACCTTCAACCTTGAGCCGAGATCTTTCGGACACTCGATTCTATAGCGAGAATAGGGGACTGCGTAGTCTATATATTATACGTCATTGGTCTTACACCTACTGTATAAAAGAAACATACCAATCAATATTATACAAACCATCGAAAGCATCTACCTCCATAATCGAACACAGGCAAAGATAAATGGAAAACTAACACAGTGTATACCAGTACAAAGTGGAGTCAGACAGGGTGACTCGTTAAGCCCACTTCTCTTTAATATATTAATGGACGAAATAATACAAGCAGTACCTAAAAGTCATGGCTCCAGAATTGGTAACAAAGAAATCCAAATATCATGATATGCAGACGACGCCGCATTAATCGCCGAGACAGAAGACGAGCTCTAAAGATTAACACATATCTTCAGTACAAGAGCTAAGAAATACAATATGATAATATCAGCGGAAAAATCCAAATGTATGACATTTAAATACCCACTACGGTGTAAAATCAAAATCGATGGGAAAATAATGATGCCGGAAGCAAGGTTTAGATATCTGGGAATAGATATCACTAGTTACGGAGATGTTGAAGAAGAAGTACGACAGCAAAGCTTAAAAGCAAGTAAAGCGGCGGGTTCTCTTAATGACACAATCTGGAAGAACAAACACCTAAGACAAGACACAAAAACAAAAGTCTATAAAGCAGGAATTAGACCTATATTAACATACAGGGCTGAGACAAGACCTGACACATCTAAAACGAGACCACTGCTAGAAACAACAGAGATGAAAATACTCCGACAAATATCAAGGAGAAGTCTGTTGGATTGGGAGAGAAGCAAAAACATAAGAAGAGCATGCAATATAGAAGACCTAAATGGATGGGTGACAAAACGAAAACAAAAGTGGAACAAACACATCAGTAGAATGGCGGAGGATAGAATAGTACGATTAGCACGAAATAAGTCACCAAACGGACGAAGAAGTATTGGCAGACCAAGAAAAAGATGGTGCGACAATTTAAACAATTTAGGAAGCTCATATTGAAGAAGAAACCGGCTTTTAAGCTTACAAACTAGAAGGAAGAAGAAGATCAATGTCTTCTACATCAGAAACTTTCTAATCTAATCGCGGCGGCAAATAAACCACATTAAGTGGCATTTTCTGAAAAGGACTGCCGGGAAAAATTGGCTACAAGTAGCGTACAATAAAAAACAATGGAAAGGAAGACTTGAAGAGGCTTATGTTCAGATGTGGACGTGAATGGCTAGACGAAGAAGAAGAAGAAGAGGCATTTTCACAATCTGAGTCTTCTTCTAACAAAGCTATTAACTCTTTAGTAGTTAGTGCCATCTTCATTTCATATTTCGAGAATTTACTGAAATAAACAAATGCACTGCTATATAAACGCATTCATATGATAAAAGTTTAGCATACTTCATTTTAATTTATATGAACTTCATAATATATTTTCATATTTATATAAACAAATAAACACAAGCAAACTTTCAAATTAAGTTAAAAAAAAACAAATATAACGTTTACAGCACACAGCAATTCTATAAATAGAGAATGATGTGTAATGATGTGTAATTAAAATTGCAGATTGTTTTTAGTCTAATAAAAAAAAAATTATTTTCCAAAGATTTCTGTTTTTTGAAGTTCTGTATTAGATACTCTAATAAGAATAAAATTTTATTTTATTTTGTTAGACAACTATAAGATACTTGTTAAAAGAGACATGATAATTTAATAATTAAATCGGTCTTAGATTTAATTTTTACGTAATTACTTATGTGTTTAAATAAATAATTAAATTTTTTTTGGTACGCCTCTGCAAAATTGATAATATCAATACGATTTCGTTGAAAAGTTATCGTTAAGGGCTTCGTTAAGTACGATGTTGCCAAGTAATCACCTTCAATTAAAAATTGTTTTAGTATAACATGGCTATTCTGACTTTGTTGACTGTTGCCCTAAAAAGTCCGGTAGTGGTTAAGTTAAACCACTTTCGCAGGTTATGCAGCCAGGATATTCTTCTCCATCCTGGACCTCATATCAGTCCTGGTTAGATCCCCATATGAATAAATAATATAATAATTATCCTTTGATTACTAGAGTACTAAACATCAAACTTTTGGGTTGTACACAAAAAACAAAGGTTATTACGAAATAAAAAAAAAATGTGGGACATACCCTATACAAAAAACGTGTCACTGCACTAAATACACACGGAAAAAAAGAAAAATGAAATTAGGTATATTTCCTTTGAAATATACCTAAGGTGGTGTTTGAAATTTAAAGATGAATGTGAAAGATGTTAAGTTTTATACAATTTGCGAACTTGTAGTTTAGCTCTTGATGCTCCAGATTAATGTTAATCGCAAAGTTTAAATACCAGCACTTCAACGACATCTATTTGCACGTAGACACCAAGGAGCCTTTAGTTCGAACTGTTACTGACTCCTTGATGCGAACAATTACAGAACTGAATGTGCAAATTTTTAATTATGAAGAATATAGGTTGTGCTTTGCATTTAAGCTTTGTCATCTGTAACTAAAGACTTAGTGTCCATTGAAAAAAATGGGATTCTCCCACAAGACATTATTTTTAAGCTAAGCTATACTTTGCTATTCGCTTGCCTTATATCAGGAAGTTGATATAAACTGCTGGAAAAGGTATTTATGGCGTTATTTTAAAGAAATTGTATGATAAAGAAAAGTATATATTAATATGTTTTTTTTTCTTTCAGAATCTTTTATGCTGTGCTGCAGACGTACTGGAAGGTAAAGGTCTAGTGCAGGTAGCAGTCACGGTGACTGAACTTTTAAGGTTTCATATGCCTAGATCTCCTCTGCATACAACGTCAGTATCCACTATTGTTTAGTTTGAAATCAAAAATATGTTAGTCGATACAAAGAACAAATTGATAAATTTTTTATTTATACTCAAATAAGAACAAACAACTTTAAGTAGTAATCAATTTTTTATTTAAAATTATACATTTTTTTGTTAAATTTATTATTGTTTACTTAAAAAAATAAGGTTAACCATAAAGCCTAAAAAATTATCAAAGTTGACAAAAACATAGTTGTTTGTTCCATAAAGTAAAATCTGTATACTACCATTATGATAAACTCACGTCTACTCGTTACATTAATCGGCAAGCTCAAAAAATTTGTATTATTTTCCAGAGAAATTGACTGAAAAAAATTAATGAAAATACATATTTAAAATGTGATAGTCTTGGCGGCAATAAATTGATAATAATGCATATTTTATATATTTATTAAATGGAGCCAGAATAAAACAAAATATTCAAAATCGTAGGTTATTAACAAAAGACTTAGTCATGCATTAGATATCAATAATTAATACATACAATCGAAGTACAAATAGTTGTCAGGGACGTCATTCCTAGTCTGTAAAGAGTTACGGTGACTTGGGTAAAAGCCGGAATGGTTCGGAAAATTTTTCGAAATAAAGTTTCTATTATAAATCCTGATTAGTAATCCTGATCAGAATGAATATAAAAAATTTAACAAAACTTCAATGAGTTTTTTGTCTATAAGGTAGAAAGTAATATCTCTTTACTGGTATCTGATTTTCGATGTCTATGTTTACTTTTATTTAGTTTTGCAATTGCCAGTAATGGGGAGACATCATTTAAATCGCGAAACGTAGTGGCGTGCTATCGGAATGCTTCAGAAGTCAAAGAGACATTACTGGGGTACTTCACACGAACAGATGTGTCATTAATCATTTGTGTTTAAGGCGTCACGAAACTGATTATGTTGCTGAACGTCATACAGGCCGTACAAGGATAACCAACCATATTGAAGACCATTTTATTAGGTTGTAAGCTTTGCGAGATCGCACTATAACTGCATCACAATTACACATGAGACTGCAAGAGACCCATCAGGTATTTGTAAGTGGCCAACCCATTAGAAATAGACTGAATGAAGTAGGATTAAATGCTCGAAGATCTGTTGAGTTGCTATGTTATCCAGAGGAAATCGCGCTCACCGACTTCAATGGGCACAAGAACACGCAAATTGGGTTAGATGTGAGTGGGCCACTATTTTGTTCACAGATGAATTCCGATTTGGATTTGCACTAGATACAAGACGGACAAAAATTTGGAGACGATCTGGCAATTCTAAACGATTAACCAATGTGCAGGAGGTTAGATTATTGGCAAGATGATTCTGAACACATTGATTTAAGTGGCGATGTTTGCTAAATTCCCAAACATGCACACCTGATTATTAGGTCATTGCAGATTTGGTAACCGACACCGATGGTTCATGTTGATTGCATTATCTCTTGTCGGCAGCAAACTTTATTCATCCCGAAAATATTTTAGGCCGCTCTCAAAAAATTATTTTGTGATGTCTTTGATAACTATTTCGCAACTCGAATTTATTGTAATACAATTATTATACAAAGTATTCCATACAAATTAACGTAGTGATTAGATTAAATATTGTTGTGCATTAATACTGCAGTTAAGAATAATCGAATTAAAAATGCATAAACTTAAATGATATTCTTATATTCTTTTGAACATACGATGGGCAAAATGCAAGCGATCATAATGATTTATTTTTATTATTTGACAAAAAAATTACTAAAAATGTTTTTATTAACAAGACATTTGCTCATTTAATTGGTCTCTTTTTCGAAGCTAATTAATATTGTCATTGTGGTAGTATACATGCTCGTAAAAGTGTTACATCGAGATTGGATATTTTTCTAATCTTTCAATGTGTGATTGTATAGTTTAGGGTACATTCGAAATATTAGCTAAGTGTATATTTTTTTTTCTATTATTTATTTCAGTTTGTATTTTTTTAAAAAAACATATCGCAATTTATCGAACAAAGTAGGTATATATAAAAATTGGTTCGTTTAGGTTTGCTGTATTTTAAATACACTTACGGACTGAAGTATATTATATGGTTTAGTTTGTTTCTGTAACGTATTTTCTTCATTTAATGTAATTTATAGGGAATTTTTGTAGGAAAAGTTTATTGCGGCGTTTTATCCCGTGATGCTGTAAATATAAGAAATGCTTTGTTATTATTGGCTCATTTTTTACATCTAAAGTAGGGTAAGTGCACTAATAATGGACACCTAAGAGAAAATTTTGAACTATTTTTATTCGTTCTAATGAAGTATTTGACTTACATTTTTTTTCCTTGTGCTTAGAAAGGTGTATACTTTCATACACATTCAAGTAAATAACTAAAAAAAATTGTTTTTCCAAAAAAATGGTTTTTTGTCACATAAATGCCATGCTACACAAAGTACATCATCGTCGGAAGATTTAGATTCGTTCAGATTCGCTTATTACTTTCCACTTTAGTGTAGGCTTTTTTATTTTAATTTTTGGTTGTTTTGAAGGGCCACTTTTAGGCGTCATATTATTATCATGGACCTTGTAAAGCGTAGTGGATACAATTGCTGGAAATATTTTTCGTTTTATTTTTGGTCCATTGGAACATTTTTTGAAAGGAGTGCTATTCACATATCGTTGGTCTTCTTTGTCCTTATACAACGTTTTCTAATCTTTCCGGTGAAGGAAATAACTTAGAAACATTTAGTTAAGCAGTACTTTTATCTTGTAAAATATTTCTGTTACCGTTCTGTGACTATTCTTCATTTGAGAGATGATTCAATACCACCACTTGAATTGAGTTGATTCAATTCAAGTGGTGGTATTTTTCTCTCAATATATACTCGGATATATATTCTTTTTTGTAAAAGTTATACTTTTAATATCTGACAGATTTATAAGATTTACAACTTGCCGAGTTTAGATACATTTTAAGTAATCAACATTGCTTTTTTCAAAAGGAAATAGTCCACAGTTTTTAAAACCGTTGCGTATTCTAATTTCCGTTGCATATCTTTTAAAACTCGTACTTAGAATGGTTGCAAATGTGTACTTTGTTATCAGAATCATTGCAAATCAGAAACCCCACAAGGATGTTTTAAGCAAACCAAATATTGGTGACCATTAATAGATCATTGTATTTTAGAAATGAACACCCGTAGTGACCATTTATATATTTCTAACACAATTTTCATCCAGTATTGGTCATCTTCTTCTTCATGTACCATGTCCTTTCAGAACGTTGATTACCATCATAGCTATCTTAATTTTATTCACTGCCACCCTAAATAGCATGCTTGTATCTACACCATACCAATCTCGCAAGTTCTTCAAGCATGAGGTTCTTCTTCGTCCTGGACTGCGTTTGCCTGGTATTTTTTCTTGCATATTTTGTAGCAACCTATATTTGGGACCTCTCATTACATGTCCGAAATACTCCAGCTTTCTCTGCTTGATGCTTTTTATGATCTCAGTAGTCTTGCTGAGACGTTCTAGTATTGTGGAGTTTCGAATCTTCTCCACCCAGGAAACTTTTAGAATTCTTCTGTAGCACCACATTTCGAAAGCCTCAAGGCGATTTAGATCGATTTTATTCACAGTCCAGGACTCGACAGCATAAATTATCTTGGTCACCCATGTTCAAAAACTTCCACAATAATGTTTTTAGTAAATATGAATAAAAAATACAAAGTGTTAAATGTGTAACAACACAAAATAAATATATAAATGTCAATGATATCTTCACGGCACTAATTGCAAACCAACGACTAAACAACTTGTCTCATAAATCAAAACAAACTGATTTTTGGCGTGCCAAAGTTTGGCGTATGAAAATCAGGCAAAAAAATATTGTCACATGGCGCCGAGTTCGTCTTTGTATTTTGGAAAGTATAAGTAACAGGGTAACGTAAAAACGTGCGGTAAAATGTAATAAGAAGTAAAGATAATAACTTTAATTGGCTTAAGGTGATTATTACTAGCGGTGTGTCCATTACTAGTGCACTTACCCTATAATATATATTTATGAAGTATTGTATTGAAGTATTGCGACTGAATTCACTGTATCTTCTAAAATACTTAAAATTAAATTAATTACACGTGATTAAACGATAAACAAAGACATTGGGACGATCCAAATCATTGACAATTATTGACAATTATCATAGTTGTTACGATTAAGGTGTGTTTTATGTCCTATTCTGCTCAATATACGTAGGGAATCTCTCTCTCCCTCTTTTATGCCGTTTGATCTAATGGAGTATTGGGTGTATTTTGGCGTTTCTTAGCCAATAATTGAAGGTGGTAGATTGGCTAGAGAAGCGCATCCTATTTGTGTGATTTCACTGAAGAAATATCCTCTATACGTCCTCTCTACTTCTCGCTACGAAATATCTTCGTTTGACATTTCTTCAACACAATCCAATTCTTTCATGTTCTCTAATTTTGATTCATCAGCTAATTTATCCGTTGTATTATCGTTATATTATCCGTTGTTACTCCCCTTTTTATGTCGGGTCGAATTTCTAGTGATCTTTCTTTGGTTTATGCCAATTTATTTCCATTTATTTCTTCATATTCTTTTGTTTTATTGTTCACACCATAGTTCCATATTCGATATATTCCCAGGAGAGTATTATTTTACGATTTTTTTTATAGATCCATTATATATTTTTTTTGAGGTTGTCCTTTCATGTGTCCAAGTTGCTGTGCCAACTTCTTTTATGTAGGTATATCTGATCTGCATCTGATTTTTCTTTATATTTTTGATCCCAGGTATGTGAATCGTCTTATTTCTTTTATATGACCTCCATTTTATTGGAAACATTTTTAATGATGACATAATAAAAAAAAGTAAGAACTGAAAAAGGATATTAAATGGGAGAAAAACACCGTAAAATAATCTGATATGTAGACGACGCAATACTACTCCCTCAAAGTCAAGACGATTTACAACGTATACTTCATCAATTTGGAGCTGGAAGGTC